CCCCAAAACCCCAAAACCCCGAGCAAAAATTTTTGAAACTTTTATATGAAATTGTAAAATATTTTTGCTTTAAACTAATATATAGAAATTAAGTCATAGAGAATCCTTGTTATGCAACACTCTCTCGTTCAGTTAAGATAAAATTCAATATTAAGTTAGTCATATAGTCTCTTGAATTCGTCTCTAACTCCTTTACATATTTTACCAACGCTAGTATCATCTCCATTGAATTTAAGACAATTGTCAAAAACCAGTTGCATATCATCTAAGAATTCTTACATTCTGTGATAGTAATTTGAATTAAGGCGCTGCCTTATCGTTCCAAAATCCATTGGGTTCTTAATGACATTGAAATAATCTGGTACCCCATGTTTAACTGGATCAACGGGCTCATGAAATATCCAGGATGAGCTGAATTTCCAAATAGTTGAGATTAATCTCTTGGCAGCCTTGTCCCATGATTCATAAATAGGTGCATTTTCAGGGAATCTAGGCAACTAAAGTTGGTCTAAATTAGACTGTTCTTTCCAAAATTTTGCTATGTCTGGATATTAGGCCTCAAATTTATCAAGTTCTTCATTTGAGAGAGGCTCCCAGGCGCCGTCTTTTAAGACTGTAAGAACATATCTTTTAGCTTGTTTTCTCTCCTATCCACCCGTTGTTGGATTCTTCTTTAAATTTTAACTATTCATATTTTGAGCCTATTAATTCTAGATTTAACTCGGCTCTTACAATGCTGGAGTTTGGGCTAAGTTTTTCTATTTCTTTTATTTTCTGAGATCATCGATTGCTTTGGCACCATGAGCAATTAAAAGGTTGACTATTTACTAAGCATTTGTTCTTTTGGCTATCATAAGGGGAGTTTGGAATTTCTTGTCCTCATGATTGACATCAGCACCGTTCTATATAAGGAATTGCACTGTGTCGTATTTCCTCCCTCTTGCTGCATAATAAATAGGGGTTTGGCCATTATTATCTACTAGGTCACAATCGGCTCCGCATTAAACAAGTTTTTTGCAAACTTCTAAATGGCCTTCCCTGGCTGCATAAAATATAGAAGTTTGTCCATTAGTATCGATGTGGTTTGGCAAGCAACCTTGTTTGAGGAAGTACTCAACAAGTTAAGCACGCCCATCCCTAGAAGCATAAAACAATGGTGTTTGATTTAAAGAATCATTTGCTGTTGAATCTACTCCTAAAGATGTTAAATATTCAATCATTTTTTAAGACAGAATGGGGTCTTTAATATTTAGTGCATAGAATATCGCATTGTGTCTATAGTTCTCATCGTAGAGATTAGTAATGTCTAAGCCGAGCTTCTCCATTTCAGTCTTGACTAGCTGGATATCTCCTTTCTTAATGTTATCTAAGAATGCTTTAATCGTTTTGGCTGTTGCTGGAGTACTTTAACCACCCTAATACATAGCTGACTGACCATTGCTAATTCCACTCGACCCTTGAAGTCCTTGGATGTTACCCATGCCTGGAGATAAATTCTACTAGGACAAGCGCTGCTACCCTAGTCCATTGTTATTGACATTAACGCCTGATACTGAGTTTTATTTAGATTGATAAGGAGTTTGCTAAATATTTCTTACGCTTGTTGAAATCACACCTTCATCGTCACTGTCCTACTACTATTGCTACTACAGACTTGACATCTATTGTTGGCACTGCCCCTCCTATTGCTAATGAGATTCTGGATTTACCTAATAAGCGTGGCTATCGGCAGAAGAGAGTGCGCCGTGCAAGATGCCATTACTTGAATCAATTGCTTTTTAGTTTATTTTATTTTCTTAAAACTCTAAACCCATTTGACCATCATAAATCTGATCAGCGATCATGTTTCTTTAATCCATCAATTATTCTTACTATCCACCCTCAAACCTATTTCTGCTATCCATTATCTAATCATTGTTTTCATCCATTTCAGCATCTAGTTGCTAAGCATTATTATGATGATCTTTATTGTATTGATTTGTAACCTATTCCGCTTTCAATCTCATTTAAGATAGAACTTAATGCGAATCTTCTGCTTTGAGATTAGCGAGATTATGATTTTAATCCTCTAAATGTTTATGTTAATCAACCATTTGGGAGTCCTGGATCTCCTCATGTTTTTAGTCGTGCCCCTATTCTCTTTTTACTTCGAAATTTGGCTGCGAAACTTACTACTACTGTTAAGCTGTTTACTATTCTTAGTCGTCACTCATATCTCTGTTAGATCTTTAAAAGCGCCAAGCTAAATTTTTAAGAAATTTACTAATATTATAAGTAGATGACTATATATTTATTAAATTCACTATGATCTATATATCAGTTTAAATCTAATCATTTTCATATCATGGGGTTTTGGGGTTTTGGGGGATCGGAAGAAC